TATTTAACAGAAAAAAATGCGTGGAGCTCTCCACTTTCTGTACCATGAAGATATACCTGCAAGGGTGAATTTTGCTGCTATTTCTTTGCTTTTAAAGTTCAAATTGATAAGCGATTTGATCAATCAAGTGATCTTCATTCTTTGATGTCAAGTAATCCATCATATCGGAATCCATGCTGGCACATAAATATACTATGAGAATAATAATAAAAACGGAACCGTATAATTGGTAGTTGAACCTATAATTCTCCTATAAAACGTGCACTGCTTAAGAACTAAAATTTACCGACTCAACAGTAAAATATGGAGAGTCGTTTTCTTCGAGTAAAATATTTACCAATTGCCCCTTCAACTACTTTGATAGGGTACGTAGGTATTGGAACTCCCTCCCATACTAAGGCATGAAAGACATAAATAATGAGATGTAAAAATACATCATTCCTTGCTATGATTCCATACTAGATGTGTTAGTGTATTAGCATATAGGCAATAATACAGAATGAACATAAAATCAAGCAGGCAATACAAATATTTAATAAAAAAATTCCATGGCCAAATTTAAATGAGCGGTTAAGTCAGAGTCATCTTCCACACATTGAAGATCAATCAAGTCCCACTTGCAACACTACCTATATCACGATTACAACCAAGACATTATCTTCGCGACAAGTCGAACAAATTTAGCCATATTTTACACGGCCTTTGTTAACCGAAGCCCAATTGTCTCCGGTGTCACTTGCCGCCATAGGAAGATATGGGTGGACATCACTTGATTTCATAGAATCCCGACACATCTACTATCTTGGAAGATATGCCCTTGTATTGCTAAAACTAGCTGCGAAATTACGAATATGAATTGTTTACCATTTCAGTCATTTCCTTCAATCAGTTAAGTGATGAACTTTCGGCTAATGACAATACATTTTGATGAGAACGTTTCTATCTCTAATGACACAAACATTAACAAACCAGAAACTCACAATTGTAATTTTATAATAAACAAATAAACGAAATCATTTGCGTCGATTTCGTGCTATCCATCCCTGGTTAAGCCGTACCAAATTTTGCAGGGTAACTGCATGAAGCAAAACAAAAAATTTGCCTATTTATTTGTACGTGTTAAGAGATTTTTCCTGTTGAAATAAGACAGAGTAGAGTGCAAAGGTAGCTGCATTTTTGCATTGTAACAGCCAAACAATACTGAGCAGCGAAAGGAACAGATTTTGAACAGAACTTTAGAACCGGCCTGGTGAAGGCTAGAGCAGATCACTGAGCAGCTTTTGGAAAGGATGAAGCGTTAGAACGCCTGACGCATAGCCACGGAGGCGGTAGTTAGTCTCGTACGATGATGCATCTCTGACATCTTCAAATTGGTAATTACAGCTGGAAATAACCAATCTTTTGTCACTTACTGCTCGAAATAAAAATCTTTTGTTACTGACTGCCACAATTCCTCATTAAAATTAGTTAAATGAGGTTTCAGATTCGCGGTGTTGATGACGAGATGCTCGTTTATTTTCAAAACCTCACTTGATTTACAGCGCCAAAACAATATTCATAGGTATTCGGTATCGCCATTCAGTCCCGTTTTATTGGTTCACCGTCATTTTACGATTATGAGAATAAACCTTCGAACTCCTTTAGCTAAAATGAAGGCTAAAATTTCCGATCACAACATTCCTTAACCAAACAATTCTAGACGTTGTAAGACAGTAGGTACAGTAAATGAGTAGCTAATCAATATGGATATCGAGTTTATTAGAAATTTATACACAACACTGAACGTATTTCTAATAACTAAGATTACGAGTTTACGGCAGCAGCTCTGAGTCAATGACGATGCTGGCGACATAAATGATACATGTAAACGCGTAGGGGTAGTTGAGCAAAAAAAGGTAAACGTGGAGCAATTTGAGTGACCAGAGAGGCAGGTGCCATAGCAGGACAAGCAAAGGTGGGTTTCAAGGTCTCCTACCTTCAACTTCAAGCTCCAACCGCTGCTGTTGCTCTCAGACTCACGTAGTCGATTGGATCACCCGCAAACGTGCGTGTTTTAGCACCGTTCACGTCAGGCGTCAGTTCGCATGCAGAGTCTATTTTGTTGTTTTTAATGAAACCATCACACAAAATCAGTTAAATCTGAGTTAAATAAGCCTGTATTGAATAGAATATTAGATAAAATCTATTATACAATAAATTAATACAAATTCAATGCAATCTCGAGAACGTGACACCTTTTAAATTAAGAATTAATTAGATGAAAGTTCACTATGGAAAGTGGCAAAACCTAAAAATGTTGAATGAAAACTTAGAGGAAAGGCGATATTTTTAAATGCAACTAATGATGGCTGGCATTAGTGAAACCAACAACTGAACGTCACAAAGTGCGTAAGCCATTGTACTGGAACGTTGAGTCCGATCACACGCTGAACGAGAAGCAGGCTGGCCTCACACCTCCCTCACCGACATTCAATACTCGACTGACGCGTTAGCTTTCTGTAATTCTGTAGTCTGAGCTGTAGCGGGAGCTCTCTCTCCACTGTATTTCTACCGTTGTCATTGACGCTGCCATGAACCTTTGCTTGAACTCAAGCTAGTGTTTTCATTCATGCTGCTTGGAATGAACTGTATACATTGTCTCGGATGTCGCATTTAAATTGAAAAAAGTGAATTGGATGAGAATGAATCACACAGTGAATTTCTACCTATAGTAAAGATCCGTTACTACCTCAACGTTGTAGAAAATTACGTAAGGATTGACTGCGAGAAAACTGACTTTTCAACTTTCTTTCAAATTCGAAAGAAAGTTTTCAAGGCTGGCCACGAACATCCTACCTGCAGGTAGGAAAACCCAGATATGAGAAAACTGCGGATAAATATATAGTAATATCACTGATCATGCAAAAAATCAATGGAATTATATTTTAATTACCTATCCAGTATTAAAAGGATCATCCTGTTTTAATCAATGTGCTGGAATCTGAGAGCTTGATGAAGAAGGTTAAGCCCAGTTCACAAGTTTAAACTTATAGTAAGTCTTGCAAGTTTGACGTAAAAGACGAAGCACGTGGACGCCAAGTTTGACGTCTTTCATGACAGTCTTGAGGTCTGAAAAACCTGGGTAAGACTGGAAAAGACAGATGTGCAAGACCATGGTTGAAATAATAGAAGTTCACCCATGGACGGGACCATTGAGTTCGTGCAAGACTGATAAGTTTGGACGAGTCTAATCGGTTCAACCCTCCTATTTCTCGGCTGAATTGTTGTTGCGAGCTGTGACATAGTTTAGTGACAGATCTAGTCCAGCACACTAGAATTACATTGCGTACAAGATATAAAACACGGGTCGCATGATTGCTTCTGAGTTGCATTGATTCGTAGATATTTACGGTAGTTGTTTCATTATCAAATTAAATCAAAAGGCTATAGGGACACAAAAAAGCACCAACCGAGTCGACATTGATTAAATGCAAGGAAGTAGATCCTGCAGCTAACAATGAATTTCCAACACATAAAGTCATATTATTTCGTACGACTCATCGGGGAGAAAGTGCCAAAATGTATGCCTGACCCATTAAGTATTTTCTCATATAATTTACTTTGAAGTAGGTACACCTTCAGAACATTGTATCTGGTCCTGTAGATCTCTGGTATCATTGAACTATAAGCTTGTTTAGAAATTATAGTTGTCAAGTCTATGGCTAAGCTTTTATCCTATTCGTGTTGTAGTTCATGGCCCACAAACCGAGCAACCTCCGATCCAGAGCTAAGCTTTGGCGGGGCTCCGCAGCGTGTTTGAGGCCGGGTATAAAAGGTCACAAAAATCCTTCCGTAATTGAAAAGATTTTGGCTGGCTCAACAGACGTCGCTCACAATTAAAACTACGCTCCACCGAACGACAGGTCCATTTCCGAGACTTAAAACGTAGTTTTCAGGACGCTCTAGTCTTGGTCAGTAAAGCCTTTTGAGCTGCAAGATAACAGATAAGAAAAGAGTGAACTTTAAATGCTAGTAAAACTTTGTATGAAAGTGAAGTTGCATTACGTTCAAAATTTTTTATCATTCCATCATCGGTGTGAAGATTTCTTTTCGCAGATATGTTGAGGAATTTTAGAATCGAAATACATTAACTGAAAAGCTTAACCGAGATATCGTGCAACAAATTAGTCTCATAATCAGAAGGTTTTCAGCACAAACAATGTCACGTAAAATTGTGCTACCTGACGGAGTATCGTTGTACGAGAAATGCAGTTCCTACCTCTGAGCATCCATGAACTACTAACAACTACAACAGAACTTCGAATTATGTGTCTGATTTGAGGTGAGAAACGTTCAACTTTACCTCCAGGAATTCAGTTTATAGATGCAAATAATCATCGATTGATTTCGGTATGATTGCAAATAATTTCGGTTCAAGTGTATCGGTGATTACTTGGGTGTCATCGCATTTAATAATATAGTTATCGTGAAAACGCTTTCCCAAATTCTAAATACAACGGCAGCACGGCATTTTATTAGGATTATAATATTACTTGTTATAAACCGTGCTCCGGCGCCTATAATCTTGTATACGATATTTGTTAATTTTTATTTGTGTGTCTGCGTTTTTGTGCGTGCGTTTGAAGCTTGGCGCCGGAATAAGAGCAAGTATGAGCACGATGCTTTTGTAGTGTCGGCATTTACCTGGACACGAAATTTTATGATTAGTGGGAGAACGGAAAGGCATTACCAAACTGGAATGTAAGGAATAGATCAAAGATTGAAAGTTGATTTTGCAATCGGTGTATGCCCATTTCATTTAAAAGACGCAAAAGTTTATCTAATTTCGAAACTGGTGTCAAATGGTAGTAATATGTTCAGTGCAATCGTGGGTTTTTGAACTTACTTCAGTGAGCATACATTAGCTTAATTAGTATAAAAGAATATAGGAATAATTAATAAGGCGGTGTTTGGGAAAGGATTATAAAATGGCAGGAAGTATATAGCTCGGAATGACCTGCAAGTTGTGCTTTAAAGTATGGAGGCTTTGAAGATTGGAGATTTTTCAGTTAGATGCAACTTCAGTAGTTTGTAGCATGCGGCAAGAGCGATTCCGAAGAGCAGGTACACTCGTAGAGGAGATGCACGTTACATATCCGAGATCGGAACACGAAATAGATATATTTGGTAGTCCATAGATGCAAATTGAATGAATGCCTTCACGCCCGTGTCGACTCAACGTTAATTTTTATGGGTATTCGGAGGCCAGGTTGTGCATATAATCCCATCGAAGATTAAGATTCTACTCATGGTCTCGTTCTTGGACCAAGACACGCAAATTTTCTTCCGGGCAGAACGCTTGGCAATAAGACTCGGAAGAGTCTCGTGTTAGGCGCGTGGAGAAAATTTTCTGCAGAAGCGGCAAGACAAATGCCACGAACGTGCGAGCCGCGGAATGGTCCTTCGCTGGATTTGCACAGCTTCCCAGAAACTATTTAGGGGATTGACACATTTCGCACATCCGCTCTCCGACATCTGTTGAGCCCGCACAAATTTGCGACGCCTGTCGGGCAGAGCATGAACTCAGAATCAGTAAACACCGCACGATTAATTCTTGTTTTAATGATCAGGATCCGATTTACATTGACTGTTCTTATATACCAAGAGAAGTATTCCAAAGTATTCATATCGAACACATTATATGGAATCTGGATGCACTTCCACACTTCCAGTAAAATATGTAAAAATACTCCTAATGCACATGCAAGGAATGAATCTCACGGTAATGCACGTTCTTAGTGCGCTAAAACTGAGATCAAAGTAATGATTGCTGAGGGAAATTATTTTAAGAAACTTTGATTAATTTTAGATGAATAATATTGATGCCAGGTATGTGAATTTAACTCTTTTGGCTTAAAAAAAACTCCTAAAGTACTGGACTCGAGGTTGAGGATGATTTGTTCATACATATGATCTGGTTGGCTGTATCGGAACTTCTTAAAGCTCGCACTGTACGTTTGTAAGATTCCAGGAAATTTGTGTGCCGTTTGTAACAAGAAATAATTCTCGAAGCCTGATTAACTTTTTGTTTAAGTAAATAATGAAAATACTCACAGTTTTATTGGGAGCTTGTAGCATTCAACCTCTTGCATTTGCTAACGAGGTCAAAGTAACCGTGGAGACTTTCCAATCGCAAGCTGGGAACTAAATAAAAAGCTGATTACACAATTGTGCACTTTATTATCCTGCGATACTTAATTTCAGTGGTAAAACGCCAATTATCCAATAAATCGATTTTAAGCGGCGCATGCTTAGAACAAAGTTTCATTTCTTACTCTAACTTTAGGCCTGATACCTCGTGCTTCCCAAACTACTGGGCTATCACCAATATAGCGTGGAGCTATAGTGGAGAAAATGGAAGAAATTTTTGAATCACATTCATATGACTCAAGTTTTTCAACATTAACAACAGAGATTATTATGACGACCTGGAACGAACCACAAGCGGCAAGACGCACTGCAGCCTGTAACAGTTGTCGAACCAAGGGTTCAATATAAGGACTGCCTTTGTGAAATGAGTGGTTCGCTGTTAATTTTCGTTGCCACTGTCCTGGCTAGAATTCTGGCAAGGGCCACTCAATAATGGCCAGGCAGGAACAATTAGAAATAAAGTGTTCAGAGATCTTCTTGATTTCACTTATGTTAAACTGCGGGACACAAAGCGCAGTAAATAAATAGGAAGTAATATATACAAAAAAATAAAAGTGCTTTTCAATTACTCAAGTAATCAGATTTAACGACATTTAAATAATAGTGTTGCCAAATGTATCAGAATGAATCGCTTATAACACTGCAAGTCACTGACCGTGAATGGCAGCCCTAGTCTGAATTGGAAAACTTTAGGTGGAATTCGGTTGCTTTACCCTAGTCTTGAGGGATGAGCAAAATTACGTTACATACACTAGTGATAAATGAATAAAAATCAGAAATCACAATGAATTGACAAGGAACATACGACACTTGTAACTAATCGGCCTATGGAGTAGCGCAGGTGTAGCGCTACTCCAAGCAACAACTATCAACTGTCCCGGCTGTGATGTTGAATACTGCGACGTCCGCGCTATTGGCGTACGAATAAAAAATTACACATCATACGCAAACTGGACGTGACAGCCACACTGAATCATTTCTTATTCAATTGTTTTGAGGCATTATTGGGAATTTGCGAAGCTTACTAACAATCTTCACGGGTTTTTTATATCTCTAAACTCTAAAGAAATCAAGTTCATTGCAAGTATACAGCCCCAAATGCTATGCTTATCACTATAGTCAGCCTCTAAGTCATGTACTGCAGACGTGCTTTAAAGACCATCGTGTTCTGCTAACGTGATTATGATAAAAAAGTTACCAATGTATCTGTATTAGCACAGATGTTTTATCTGCATGTATTAACACAGATAAAGATAACACCAAACTGAGAAAAATCAACTTCCTAAGAGAGAAATAACAATTCACTTCCTAAAGTGAAACCTTTCTTTTTAGACTCCGTAATCAATATTTTTTGCGTGTTTTTGCCGATCGAAATTTGGAAAATTTACATGGATATAATGTTGTGTCAATAGTAATATTATTACATTTGATTCATTTCGTACGACACACAGTAAATTATTTTAATTAAATATAATCATTTTAGATTCGGTGTTGAAACAAATGAATTTAAATGAATTTCAAGTAATAGATAAACACGATATAAATTCAAACATATCATTAATTGTTTTAAGAAATCAGTTATTTTTTCGTTCGGAGTGGTGCTAAAAAGAGCCTTTGATTCCTTCTATCACTCTATGATGAATAATTACTTCGGGTGCAGCACGTACAATATCAGACTATTTAGCCAACTATTAATATCAGACTACTAAGCCAACAGTTAAACCTATATGTTAAAAGCAAATCCTTGTAACAGTTCACATTCGATTAGCCGTTCCAGATAATTTCCGAGATCATGTTTTTGGGGTCAATAATATGAGTTTCAGGAAACTGTTAATGTCTGTTGACAACTAAAATGATCGGTTTCTGATGCTAATTTGCAATTGCAGTGTTTACGGTGGCGTTTTCCACTCACGTTTGAGAAAGGAATGAAGCATAATTAAATGTGACACAACTGAAAATGTACATCATATCAAACACATCAATCTAATCATCCCTACAATCGAGCATGGTTCCAGTCAGTTCCCAGTAGTTAGGTGATGGAACGTTGGGGTGAGGTCCACTTCCCAGCGTTATATCATCTAAGATGTTTAGGGGTCAGCAATTCTTGGGTCATCGTACGTCTTCGTTATTGTCATACTGGTTCTGTCTTTATGTCAATATCCGCTTGACGTACTAAGGGAAGACTGAAATAGTAACAAATAGAGAAAACTTCACTGTTCAATTTCGAAACATTCCGAAACACGGCCGCATATGTTATATCTATGTTCCGGATATTTTTGTTTCACATTCGTGCAGTTTTGAGTCGATGCGACCCTCCTCATTCAGCTATTTACTTCGGAATAATGCAATGCCGATTGAAGGTTTTTGTGACGTTATAATTCAAAACATCATGAATTATTCTAAATAACGTAATTTCAACTGATTAACGATTTGAAAATTTTCAGACCACGTATACTTTCTAGTATAATCTACCGAAGAATTTATTACTTAAATACATGTAAAAAACTGTCATCTACAACATTTACTTCGGTACTTCACGTAATTGACTTTCAGTAATTTCAGCAACGTACATGTCTTAACACCACAGTCAGCAAAATTTATCTCACCCCCATGGCCCACATTAGCCTGTGAGGCAGTTTAAGCGGTACATACTACATATCAGAGAAGCCAATTGAGTCATTAATTTTCGCTTTAGTCAGGCTTGGCAGAATTTGGCTTGAACAGTTTGAGCACTGCAGGTCAGTGGGCTCGGGCAGCGTGAGGAGGTGCAATATAACGGCCATAGAACAATCAATCACCCTCTCAGGTCATTGCAATATTGCTTACTCGGCCTCCAGCCTATATAGCGTCACAGCCTTCACGGGAGCTACATTTCAAATATTGTTAGATCGCATTTAAGGTTAAGGTCTAATTAGCGAATAATAATAAAGTTGGACGCCTTGCAAGTTGCCATGCTATATTAAGAGACAAAATTGGTAAATGTAAAAACACTTATAAATATGTCAATTCTGCAACCTCCATTAGTGGAAAGATTTGATCTGTAGTTTAAACTTTCATGAAGAATAACTAAGAAATAATAAAAATTAGGGAACCGATGTCTCACGGTTCCAGTGCAGACAACAGAGGTTGGCATCGCTTTTTTTGTGCAAGTTCTTGGAATCGATTCCATTGTCTATTGGCAATAACTGTCGTTGCCAGTTCTTGAAACGAAAAGCATTGAGCTAAGTGATGGTAACTCGAGTTTATAACTTAAATTTTTACGAATTAACTTTAAGATTATACTGATATTGCCTCTTAGCCAATTTTTTGCGACTTGTAAAAACCCACACTGGAGGCCACATTACAGATAATACTGAAAGCCAATGGCCCCGTGTACAACTTAACTGACCGGCAAAACTAGTGGCGGCCAGTGCTTTCTGCCACGGCTAGTGTACTACTGGGCACGTGTACGTACTAATGCCAATAAATGGCTCAATAGATTTCACTGATGCCATTATACAACAGTCGAAATACGTACTCAACGCGTACGGTCCTAGTTAGGGGAGGTTATTGAAAGTGTATTACATATGATACGGTATGGTGAGAAATCATACCATAAAAATTATTCCACTTGCCAAACATCACCAAGTCTGCTTTAACGTAACTGCCAAATTAAACTGCAATCCACCAATCTGTGTTGGCAAAGAAATGTTTCTCATTTGATCTAACTGCTCATGAAATATTATTTGTTAAACTTTTTAATCCTTGATCCGAGTGCTCAGAATATCCTGTTTGGTCTCGTACCTTGTATGGTTGTATTGTCTCGATATTAGTCTCGTTTCATTTCCTTATATAGGGAATACAATTATTACCCGATTGCTTTTTTTATTCCGAGACGATTTTTCTCGTATACCTCTTTATTTTTTCGAGATACTTCGTCTCGTCTAGTCTGGGTCGAGAAAACGGTTCCGAGACACAGAAGTCTTGTTACCAGACCTCGGCTTCAGTGTGGCTGGCGCCTACCTTGGTTTTCGTCAGTGTCTGCCACGCCGAACATTCTTGGGATTATTCGAGAGCTACACGCAAACGCAAGGCTCAAGTTGCTCGGTGAATATTCATGGAGCCCATTACCGTAAGTGTCTTTTAAGTGAGTGGTTGTATCATGCATTGTTCAGGCTACTCCGCTCTTAATGAAACATGAGATGGGCTAGCTGCCTCGACAAGGTAACATTATTTCATCCAGTGCCTTGTTAATAATAATTAGAATCGTTCTGTAACATGCGTTACACCATCGTTGACTTATATACAATTCTCAATAATTAATTTTAGTTCCCGCGTAACAAAGCGCAATGTATGTTAGTAATTCCCGCGTACATTAAAAAATCCTCCAAAATCTAGCACCGCAATTAAAGAGTCAATCATTAATGGAGTGGTGACAACCTCTGGAGTAAGTACAGAATATTAGCACAGAACATCAAGAGACGTTTATAGAAGCTCAATAAAGTGATAACCGAAGCTTTACATAAATTACACTATTAATAACGAGCTGAATATGATGTCATCTTTTGGACTTAATATGTGGAATCACCGAAGAATCAAGACGACAAATTAAAAAGCCGGCGATAAATTATTAATTGAATCTCAAAAGTCAGAAACATAAATTGTATGACTGTTCGATTCATGTTTTGACATCGTGGAACTGAACATTATTGACTGTAATATTTAGATTATTAACTAGCTTCATCATTTATCTACTAAAAAAGGGGGAGAAATTAAAACACTAATTTTGGATGAACAAAATTGATCATTGCAACTTAAACAACAGTGATGTGTAACTTATGCATCTTTTTAGCCCCATGATCAGGGTGCAAAAAACTTGCTCCAATGCCCAAATGCGTTTAGCTAAATGAATTTTTTCCCAGGGCAAAAAACCATGGCAACAACTTATCAACAAGATGGCCATTTCGGTAATTTTGTAACTTGTTCTGCAATAACCAAGGGATCCAGCGGTCTAAACACTGACTGACTATGATAATTCCAGCTGTCCACGTGAGTCTGCGCGATGAACCTTCCTTCATTTGTCACTCAATGCACGGTCGGGCATCGTGTCTCTCCCAAGGAGGGATATGAGATTTTTGGCTCATGTAATGCGTTTCTTTACACTTTTAGTTGGTAACAACGGTTTCTTCTTATTTTCTATCAGAAAACGATATTAAATCTCTACTAAAGACCACAAACATATGCTCCCATACGATCCATGCGTCTAATTTACAACCTTTTGAATTAACCTCTTGGTATGTCTAAGGATTTTATTCCTACGTAGCATTTGACAGTTTATTCCAACTCACAGATATTCGAGACCTATCATTTTCGTAGTCAATTTGACGTGCTCCCATCTAGTTCCTTTATACCTTTTATAATTCTTCAGAATAACATTCAGTTCGCATTCAAGCCTTAGTTAATTTATTTACTTGCAGCTTTTTAAATACAACAATTGCCTTTTGGAAATTTAAAATTTTAGTCTCTGGAAAAATTACGAAAAAATTTGATTTTTAGTAAATAAAGCAATAAAAATTAATGACAATGTACACATAAAACCTAGTAAATGTTATTGGACCATAATACCATGTAAAATGAAACCTAAAATAAGTTTTCAGGACGGTTCGAGGCAAGGGAATATTAACAAATAAGAAGATATTTCAGCGAAAATTGCTCCAAAGAATTTGCTGGACGGTACCAGAGTGCGGCCACTACTTCTTTTTTACATAATATTACCGAAGAGGAATTTTACGAGAAGTTTTAAGGTCGACTTTAACGCCTCCGTAAGGGTTAAGGTTCTCGACACGAATAGCCGACCATTTTTT